AGCCAAACGAGCGACGAGGAGAGCCCGATGCCCGGACCCTGCCCGGGAGAAAGAGAGAGCCTCTAGGCCGCTTCTGCATCTCCCTCTCTTTCCTCCCACTTCCGACCGTCCTTTTCCCTCGAATTCGCTCCTCCTGTCTCTCTCCATCTCTATCCCTTCCTCTCTTTGCCTATCCCTCCGCTCACCTGTCTCTCTCACTCCCGCTTTGTCTCTCTCCGCGACTCTTCCGACTCCTCTCCTCTCTATCTCTATCCGTCCACCTATCTGCGTCTGCCTCCGTTCCTCGAAGGACTGCCTGAAAACGCCTCTCCGCGGACCAACAGGTATTCCGCGTCGATGCTCCGATTGTTTTGCACCTTCGCGTCCTGCCCCTCACCGCGCCGCCGCGTTTTTCTTCGCGAAGCCGATCATCGAAATCTTTCCCCCGCGCGAACGAATCGTCCCTCGATCGATCCGCGATTAGGAGTCGCGACGCGACGCGCTGCCGCGGCCTCCTTTGTTCGTCCTTTCCTTCTTCCGACGATGAAGGATCGAGAAGCAGCTGAACGAGCGGAAGGAAGGAAGCTGGGGACGGATGGAAAGAAGGAAGGAAGGAAGGTTGCCCTTGATCACGTGGCAGGAAAAGTAGGAGGAGCGAGCGTTCCCCTACCTAGCATCCCCCGGAGGATGCTCAATCGGCATAATTGAGGTTTATCTCGTTCCCTAACTCCGCTTTCCGCCTACTCGACCCCACCGTGTCTCCCGTTCCTCGCTCGTTTTCGTTGGATTCTGCACGCGCGCGCAGATTCCGTCGGCTCGGCCGAACGGTTCCGGCGCACCTTAGTCGTCGGACGTATCGCAACGAGCGTCGTTCGACGCGGAGATCCCCGAGCACTCCCGTAGGTACATCGATTGCGTGGATACTCACCTGGGCTGGCCTTCCACGTTGCGATCGGTCCCCGCGCGATCGACGAACGGGTTCGAAGTAACGAACGACGTTCCGAGAATCTCGCTGCCTCTGTACGGGAGCTCTCTCCGGGCTCCCCTTGAATCTAAATCAGCACCGCTCACCCCTCTCCCTCGGCCAGGATTTCGTCCCTTCTGCGCTATCGTTCCTTCGGTTCGGTCGGATCAGTAGAAGCGCGGGTCTCGGTGACGTGGTCGCTGAGCTGGCAATTAGTCGCAACAACCCCGTTCGCATAGCTCGGCCCGTAGTCACCCCAACGTGGCACGTGGTCGAAGATCAAACGCCGCCCTGATACAAAGCGAGCGCCGTCGGGGCTCCGTCCGCCGGAGACGCGGATTCGCTGGTCGTCGGATGAGAACGGGGCAACCCGTTTGATACACGGATCGGCTTACAATTTACCTTCGTCTAATTAGAGCTGGCGCGAGCTTGGAACGGACGCGCGCCGCCCGGCGATCCGAGATCGATCGACGCCGTCTCCTTCGTTTCGCCGGCGAAATCCGTTTGGTTCGCGGGGCGTACGATTATTAGCCACGGCTAATTAGAATCCTCGGCCGAACAAACGAGCTCGCGCGCGCCGCTCGATCCCTCCCGCGAGCCGCGTCCTTCGCCAGGGGAAAAGAGGAGGGTCGAGCCAGCCGGTCGGTTGCCGCGCGGACGGCAGGCGACGACGGGGCGACGACGCGACGAATTTCGTGGCCGAGGCAATCGCGTACTTCTCTCTCTCGGCCGAGGCCGATATCGTCCCGAAGTATTCGTCGAGGCACGCGGACCGTTGCGCGCCCCGAGTTCCTTTTTGTTCGTGCGCGCGAGAGAAAACCACCGACTACGTTCCATTCGTTTGGTAGTGGACGCTCATTGCCCGGACCAGGTACCTTCGCCGCGATAAGATCGTCGTTCGTGCTGCTTCCAGAGGAGCCCCTCCT